GAGAGAGAGAGAGAGAGAGAGAGAGAGAGAGAGAGAGAGAGAGACTGAAAGAGATACTGAGAGTGAGAGACAGACACAAAGAAAGCCCCCCAGCAGTGCTTGGTCATGCTATAATTCATTTTCCTCCAGTTCTCCTTCCTGTCAGGATCCTGGGCATGTGCATACACTTGGTACGTTTTTTAAGCCAATAGGGTTAGGACTCAAACCCTGATTGGCCATGTGGAATCTGGTTTTCTTCGTTTAGTCCTTAACACTATGCTAGAGAGCTGGTCCTTCATGCCCATCTTAAATCTTAGAATCTAGCAGCATATCTGAGTCAGTGGGAAATCTTAGCCAAGCATCCAACTAACATGCTCAACTAGATGTCTCACCACAGCCTGACTTGTGTCTCATAGTTTAGCCACCATGTAAGAGAAATATTTGAAATGAAGTGCAAGAAAAACAGAGACTGGGAGTTTTAAAAGCAACATTCTTACTTGAGCTTCACCAAAATCTACTGAATGACAAAGAACTTTTGTTTCCTCAACTCTACTTTTAATGCCATTATTCTCAAAGGATTAAAAACTACTTTGAATCCCCAAATTCAAAACACTCAAATAAAAAAAATATTTATAGTGCAACAACTCAAAGGATTGAAAAGAGAAAGAGCAATGTTTTAAAACAGTGGTCATTAACCTTTTCCGGTCAAGGGCCAGATAGTAAACATTTTAGACTTAGTAGGCCAGACCAACTCTGTCACAACTTTTCAACTCTGCTGCTGTAGTGCAGAAGTAGTCAAGGACAGCATAGAAAAAAAGGGGAGTAAATTGTTCCAATAAAACTTTATAGTTGTAAACAGGAGGCAGACTGGATTTAGGCCCCAACCTCACTTTGCTGAACCCTCTTTTGAAGAGTATGTGTCCTTTAACTATTGTCTCCATTGCACATGTTCCTGCTTGCTGTGTGTCCTACTTTGTCTTTTTTTTCTCCCACTCTGTTTTGGGAATCAGTTTGGATTGCTGTTTCTACCCATCCGTCTTTTTCTTTCTACATCCCACCTGAACCCATACTTGTACATAATGTCGCCTCTCTCAAGGGAGCATATTGCCGTTCTGTTTGAGAGCCTTCTCTCCCACAAAGCAGAGCATCCCCACTCACCTATTTGTGTCAGGGCACTCTTCCCTCCGAGATCCAAGAGGCATGAAGAAGCCCGGACCAAGGTCCTTTTATCCTGAGCTCAGTCTTGGAAAGGAGGAAACCAAAGGGATTTCCCCAATATTTCCTGGTATCCTGATGTCTCACTGAGTTCTTGAAAATACTTGCCAAATTTTGTCTTTGCACTCAGAACTCCAGTTTTGCAGCTGTGGGGTGAATAACATCTCCATTTCCTCTGGAAGGATCTTTCATATGTGTGTGATGGGCAGGGCAGAGGGACATAAGGTAAGGTGCATTTTCCTCAAGTGTACTTGGATCCTTCAGTGAGGATTGTGGATGTGAGGAGATAAGGAGAAAGAAATTCCTGGGTTGGATTTCTGGAATTGTGGAGTTCTTTAGGCATTGTAGGGCTGGATCTAATATTCTTCTCTTTATTATTACTTTTGATTTAAATATAATAGTTGTACAAATTCATGGGTTACAATGTGGTCAAAAACTGTGTACTTTGTGTAATGACCAAATCAGTGCAATTAACACGTCCACCGTCTCAAACACTTAGAATTACTTTGCATTGTGTGTATTTAAGATCCACTCTTTGTATTGATGTATACGTTGAATTGTCTGTCACCAATCATTGCCACTGTACTGTTGTTAAGTAGTCTAGAACTCATTCCTCTTGTCAATCTACATTCTTCCATTAGCCAGTTTCCTCTATCCCTCTTTTCTCCTTTCTGATGTCCACTGTCATAATCACCACTTCTATGCAATTGAATCTTTCAGCTCCCATTAGTGAATGAGAACATATGGTATCTGTTTCTCAGTGCCTGATTTATTTCACTTAGAATTATTTTCTCTAGGTTCATCCATGTTGTCTCAAATGACTGAGTTTTATTCTTTCTTATGTCTGGGTAGTATTACATGGCGTGTGTGTGTGTTTGTGTATATATACGCACATCACATTTTTCGTTTCTTTTTAATTTAATTTTTTGGGTTATCTCTTTATTTATTCCATAAATGAGAGCAATGTAGACAATGTAGATAGAAAGACACAGAGAGAGACAGAGATACAAACCCCTGACAGGTTATCAGCGCCATGATCCACCTCCAGCTTCAACTGGCCTGGACCAACGGCACATGCATGTCTGACATACCTAGGGAGGTATCTTGATGTGAACTGGCAGCCTTCCTATGTGGGTCTGCCTCACAGAGTGTTGTGTTTTTTCACTCAACCACTACCCAGCTCCACCAACCTTGACCTGCGAAATCTATATGGTACAACTTGCTTTTCACAATTTTCTTTTATGGATCAGGCAAAGGCTAGACTTTATCTCAGGCTGTATATTTTGCTCACTATCTTTTGTAGGTTTTCCCTGAAAAACACATTTTCACTAAATTACAGGTCCCAGAAATCTCCCTCAGCTTATGTAGGCCCAACTTGAGTAGCTATGTGAACTAGGTTCCTTAGTAACTACATGTATAAAAATAATAGTTAGTAATTTTCTTTGGTTTTATAAAGCAATTAAAAACCAAAGATTATTTCTTATCATTTAATTAACTATGATTATAACAAAAATTTATATTCATATTTAAACACAATGAAATATTAGTCCATTTTGTAGTGTTCTATGAATAAGTATTGTGATGTCTATCTAAGCCAGAGGAATTTATAGACACTCGATGTTATAACTGTAGGAAATTACAGTCAAATATTTCAATTTCAATGTACTTACATATTGTTATAAAGAAATATACTCCTGTGGGGTCAGCAGATGGCATTGTGTTTAAGACCTTGGACTCCCACATGGCCAACTGCAGTTTGAGTCTTAGACCTGGCGTCTTGAAAATCATGCTGGGCATGTGTGCATGCATGTCCAAACTACTAAGAGGAGATGGAGGAGAAAGATTTGCCTTCTGGCCATTTCCTCTGGGGTGTGATTCCTCACTTTCCCTCTCTCTGTCTGTCCTCGACTAGAGTACGTGCCCTATGGCAAACACCTTAAAAAATAAATAAAAGGGACCCGCAGGTGGCATGGTGGTTAAGGAGCTGAACACTCCCACATGGTCGACAAGGGTTCAAGTCCTGAATCTGGTGGCTTGCTTTCTCACTTCCTCTCTCTCTCTCATTCTCACCCTCTTTCTCTCTCTGCTCAAACTAAAAAAAAATATAATAAAATAAAATAATAAATAAATAAATAAATATTTAATAAAAAAAGGGTTTGGGATAAAAATGGAATTAAAGTTTATTTAAAAAAGTAAAAGGAGAAAAAAGAAACATGCTTCTGACTACTGAATATGACAATATTCAGAAATATGCTTAAACATATTCACGTTATAGTGATAGAAAAATTCATGGAGAAATAGAATGGAAATTCAAGTTCAATTGAGATAAAACATTAAATATTCAAATTTTAAAGAGAGCTTAGGTCTATCTTTTTTATGAACATAGATAAAAATTTCTTACACTAGGTAACAGTAAATTACTAAACAAGATATAAGAAACAATATATTGGGTCCTTGGAAAACTCATGACGTATTTTTTCTACATTTTTCTATGCAAAAATGAGTCATGACTTTTCTGACAACCCAATATAATCATCATGTTGACTTTGTTTCAGCAATACAAGGTTGGC